CCACTCGCACTTTCAGGCTTCAAGAACAGATCGTTCTCTCGAAGACGTCGCAAGACTTCGCGTGTGACCTTCTCGTGCTCTTCTCTATTGGTTGAGAAGATCAGAATGTCATCCAGGTACACAAGAACCTTGCCACCAATGATGAGATCATGGAAGATCTCGTTCATCATTGCCTGGAAGGTCGCGGGGGAGTTGGTGAGGCCGAAGAACATTACCAGGGGCTTGTACAGCCCCCGGTTGGTTACGAAGGCTGCCTTCCATTCGTCACCGGCTTTGATCCGGACGTTATTATATCCCCATCTGACATCGAACTTGGTGAAGAGCGTCGCGCCGTGGAGTTTGTCAACCATCTCGGCGATCAGCGGCAGTGGGTAGCGGTTTTTTACGGTTATCGCATTGAGTCAGCGATAATCTTGTACGGGTCGAAGGGTCCTTTCCTTCTTTTTGATGAAGAAGAAGGGGGACGAGATGGGCGACTTCGACTCCTGTATGTAACCTTTCGCTAGTTGCTCCTTCAGGAACTTATCCAATTCCTCTTGTTCGTTGTTTGACAGGGGGTATACCTTCGAGTGGAACATCGAGTAGCTGGGCACGAGTTCGATCGCATGATCGTACGGCTTCCTTTCAGGTAGCCATTCTGATGCTTCCTTCGAGAAGACCTTCAGAAACTCGTGGTACTGTTTTGGTACCGACTCCTCGGCGGTTTTGACAACCTTCTTCTTGATCTCCTCCTCAGTGAACAGCTGGGAGTATGTGTGCCCGGCTGCAATGAACAGCTGAGGGGCACCAGGAAGTGTGATACCTTGCTCCCAGGCTTCGATCAAATTGGCTTCATCCCACTCTACTTCCGCCGGATCTTCTTCGGGTTCATAGTCCGGGAGTACCTTACTCCGACAGGCGCCTATGACCGACCATTTGGACTTCGGCGAACGCCTGCGCACCGTGGGCCTGATCCCCGTATCATGCGCAGTCGCTGCTTGCTCCATTCGGCCAGTCCTCCTGGCACTGCACATTTCAGGGCATCGGGATAACTTTAGGGAGCCTTCCTCCCAGTTGATTTCGGGGTTGTGCTCACGTAGCCAGTCCAACCCAACGATCACATCCTCCGGACCGATGTCCGTGATCGATTCTCCGTGATGAAACACTTGTTGATGAATTTCGTGGTGGCTCCGCTGTCCACCATTGCAACTATGTCCTTGTGCCGTCTTTCTCCATTGAGGCGTACTGAAATGTGGAAGTGTTGGGACCCATGGTCCAATTCGTAAACATTCGCAGTAGCCAATACATTGTACATGTTATTATTACGCGGCCCGACGTGTGTGGCACGAAGCGCGGACCGGATCAAAAAGACTCCTCCTTCATCACCCGATAATGCTCGAGCTCCTCGCGCATCGACTTCATCTGTGCTATTAAGTCCGCCAGCTCAGAACTATCCGATTTCGCTGAAGCGGCGCTTGTACTCGCCGAGGATGAAGCGACGGGGGCGCTTGTCGCAACCTGGGTGGAACCCGAGGCAACCGTAGCCCGTGCGTCGGCGTGTTTTGTGTAAGGCTTGTCCTTACAATTGGGGCACTCGAAACGACGGTACCCTTGCTTCCCGCAGCCAAAGCAACTGCCAGGAAAGTCTCCTTTTCCGACGGCCGCATTGATGCTGGCCGAAGCGCCTTGCGATCGAGGTGCACCACCACGTGCCCCACCGCGTCCTCGACCTCGGATTGAGAAGAAGTTGTTCAGCTCGGGCCGCCGGGCCTGGCTGATGTCGAGAATCTGCTCAACCTCAGTGGCGCGCTTCTCAGCTTCTTGCCACGTGGTGATGGTCTCGAGCTCAATTTTGCGGTAGACGCGTGAGGGGATGCTGCTCAGGTACTTCTCGCGTAGTTTCAGGTCCCCATACCCAGAATGATCCGCCGGACCCTTGAACAGTGCGGAGAATTCCACGGCGGTGTGTTTTTCGCGGACCGACTTGTCCGCGCCAGAGCTTCGCCAACTCTACTTGTGCTGCCGCCTT